ATATATATATATATATATATATATATAAATATATATTATATATATATTATCTATATGTAATACCGTTACGTTGTTGTACTACATTATTGTGAACACCATTTCTCAGACATCGATTTTTTTAAATAAAAAAGAAAAGAGCTCTCTTTCGACACCACACTAAATACCAAGCCAAATCCGTCACGTTTATCTGTCACGCGTTATGTGGCTCGCTCGTGTCGGCTACGTGTGCGATCTCGCAATCGTTGCAACTCGTTTCATGATATTTATACGATATCATTTCACGCGCCCGATCGATTGTCTCTCGTGGCGTTTGTTCGCTTCGCATAATTCGTTTCGTTTATAGTGTATCGTAAATTTTCCTAGATATCGAAGAGATCATACTTGGAACTCCGAATATTCATTCTCATTCGACTTATCATTAATTTCCGACCACGTACCTTTAGATAGCAGATAAGTTTAATGAACGGACCCGGGAAAGATAAAAGCATAGCGATCTATGATTATCCACGAAAGATCGGTGCCTGAGTAGCGTTTGAGTAACGAGCCTTCTCGTCAGACTGATACTCGTCCTAATCTAACTAATTAACGGTTAATCAATCGCGATGGGTATTTCGGAAATTATTACGACTTTCGGCGGGATCGACGTCCGCGACACTGTCAATCTCTTCGGGCGTATTTTTTAGCGACGCGCTACGCGAAAAGTCGGTCTGCATTTAGAAAAAATAAATTTATCTAAAATAACGCGCCGTTGCGCGATTTTAAATATACGTCGATTAGTGATCGAGTGATATTCGACGACATTGATTTCATTCGCGAACGAAGTAACTCCATTCCCAAGCGTGATGAAGATCATCCCGACTCGCTTCTCGCGTTACGATTTCTGTTCGGTGTGCAACGATGCCTCGGAAAGAAGAGGAAAAAAAAAAAGAAGAGAAGCTTGGATACAAAAGAGAAAAGAGACGAACACACGCTCATTCACACATACATACTACACGCAACACACGCTCACAGAAGGATATTTCGATCTAGCGTCTAAGTTTTCCTGAACATTTTCATCGTTCTCGAGTCCTTCTAGTCGTCAATGTAAATAGCTGTTTTATATTGTTACAAGAACGATTACGGAAGATTATGAGAGAGGCGGATTGTATATTTCGGGATATATTACGGACGCGCGCGCCGACACGTGGTGCAATTATCTCTATCTCCGACGTCCATAATGTAAGCGCACAAAACAACCGATTAACGATTTATGTGTCTTCTTCGTGTTTGATCGTGACTTTATTAATTAAATCTTGAACGTCTACGAACCGTCTGTGTTTTTGCCTAGGTACCTCTCTTCTCTCTTTCTCTTTATCTCGACTGGCGCTAAGAGTCGGCCCGGAGAACGCGACGATTTATTATCCACGCAACTTGAATTTACATGTAAAGTAAATTAATAAAACTCGCAATAAAAAGTATACATTTTTTTTTCTTGATGAGATATAAACGAATATTATTTAATGTTGCTTCGTCATGCATGTGCGTGTTATTATCGGATTATATGCCAATATTTTACGCGTTATGATGAGAATTCGCTTTCGAGTATCTTCTTTATTTTATTATAAATCGATAAATAAAGTCTAAACAAATTATATTTATGATGATTTATGACGATTCTTTTTGAGTTTTAGGTTTCATCATATATTGATATATAAATTAAATTATTAATCACTTTTTATATAAGCATATCTTTTATAACCGAAGTTGATAAATTTTTATTTAAAATATTTGTTTAAGATACTTGTCCTGGTTCATTGCAAACAGTTTCTATATAAACACCAACTAACAGTAACATTATATCAATATTAAATTTTCATTAAAGAATTGTTTATCGTATTAAATTACATGACATCACAGAAGCAAAGATTTTTTGCAAAATGCATAAAATAGAAATATTTTTTAATCAAATTATGTTTGCAAAGAAGAGTAGAACTGTAAAACATACCAAAAACCCAATTTATCTTTTGCTTGGACAATCAATAGATAAATATATATCTCGAATTGAGTTATAACTTAATATTCTTGATTAGAGATAATTTCTATATACCTAAATAGCAGAATCTGTGAGAAAAGATTTTGCAAAATATGTGTTGCCGAAAATCTATTTATTCATTGACATATTTAAAATCACTATTATTAATGCTGTTTCTAAAAAGAAAATCAATTGGTCATGGAAAATTTTCCCTAACCCTTTATATTTGATTTCTATTATATTTAACCTGCTGTAACTTCATTCGATCTAAGAAAAGGTGATTTGGATTCTAAGAAAAGAATAATATTAGTAGTTTTAGATTAATGGTCTATGGACAGAAAAGAATGAAGGAGAGTGAAACACCAGTAATGTTAAATAAAGGCCAACGTAATGAAAAATGAATTTTGAAAATCAAAAAAAGACATGACAAAAACGTTCTTTTAAAAACTGTGGAAAATAAAGCATAGATATATATTTCTTTCTGTCTCCAAAGATTAATCGCTTCTTTTCTGAAATGTTTGACAGACATTAGTCAAGAAAACTAGAAAAGAACTCTCCGGATGAAAATCATATATAATCTCGAATCGCCACGACTAATCGGGGAAGTTGCGCCATATAAATGATAAAAGCTTTCATATGGAATGAGATTGAAAGGTAAGAGGAGAAAAAATCTATTTGTTCGCGAATTCAATATTATAGAAAGAAAAGCTTAAAAATATTAAAAATATAATCACAATTTATAATATTATTAATACAATTGCAAGATAAACAATACACAAAAAATAGATCTTGATCGAAGTTTCTTTCGAGACTAGGTGCTCCGATGTGATACATTTCACATTTATACGATCTTAAAGAGAGAATCAACTTGTTATCTCAGATTGATTTTGATTTTCATTCATGAATATCTTAATTTTATAAGATATGTTAAATTTGAAGACTTAAGATTGAAAAAAGTATGAAGGCAACGATAATTTATTGCTTTATTTTTAATTTATTCATTATTAATTTATTAATGATTATTATATTGATGCGCTTAATCCTATTATATTGTAGGATGTATTGTATTTATTGGCTCTTAATGTGTAAAATGGAGAACAATAAAAATTTGACGCAATTATTTTAATAATATTATTATTTGTTATCACATCATAACGATTCTCATTGATATCATGTATGTGATGTATTAATAATAATAATGATGATAATACGCTTACGATATCAAATATGATATTCTTAATTACGCCATCCTTTCTCTCTCTGATATGCCTAGCATATTTCGAATAGGAATCTATGCTTGTAATAGTTTTATCTTGATGCTACGAATGTAGAAATTAAATCAAAAATGTGAAGAGTATATCATTCTTTACTGCGAATATGATATAAGAATTAATAAGTTAATATATTTAATTTATTAATTCTTTACACTAATTGGATTTTTAAAGACAGAATCCAATAATATATAAAACTATCTAATTTTGACACGACTTGCGTGAGGTTTTGAGTGCAGTAAAAATGAATTATTGATTATTTCTAAATTATTTGCATCTTTTTCAAGCATATTTGAAATATGCTAGGCGAGTTATATTTCTTATTATTATACCAAAAGCTGTAAAAAATTACCTATATATATATATATATGTATATATAATAGGATTTTAACGCGAGAAAAATAATAATAACATGTAATAAACATAATGTAATAATCGTAACTTAAAATTCTAAAGCATAATTTTAAAACTATAGCAGTCTTTTTGGTAAAACTTTATAATACATTAATAGAATCTAGGAATCTCTCAGAGTTTACTCTCTGAAAAATTGTACGATTTGATGATAAACATTTTCGTATCTTAGTTAATAACAGCCTTGCACAATAGATTCTATTGTTCTACCATTATTTTACATTCTAACACGTTTGCTAAATAGATATTTTTAACGAAGATGACTAAGGATATTTTTTTATATTCAGTAAATATCAATTTTTCGCAATTATGTTTGCAAGATTCACTATAGCGCATTATATATCAAATATGACGTATTAAACGAACATATGATGCATTGATGCGAAATATGCATATAATTCGCAAATATGCATATATTTGTTATTTGCATTAAATTCTTCCTCCTTTTGAAGTTACATTCCTAATAAGACAAACTATGTGAGCTTTACAGCTAGCTTTATTATTTACTAATACAATTTACTAATACATTCAGTAATTCTAACTTAGTAACTCTAGAAATGCATTATATTTCATATCCAGAGAGAGAAAGAAACAGAGGAAGAGAAAGAGAGAGATTCATGATAAGTAAAGATTTACTAGAGTATAAATGAATTTTATGTATTTTGTATGTAAACGATGGATTTAAGATACTACGCAACGTCGACGTACAATTCATTTCGCTTTTTTTATCAGATAATTATCAAGTATTATCTAATAGCGTTTTCAATTGCAGTGAATTTTGATTCGAGTCAATGCCATCGTAACACTGTCTATATTGACTTTTTTCGTTCTAATTTTTTCAAGCATATCTATTTCGCTTTAGGTACAGACACAAAACTTACTGCAATCGAAAACGCTATAAATATATCCTACTTTTGAAATTTCTCATCGCATGAGAAATAAAATAACGGCGACGAATGTTTTTTAATATATCTAAATAGATTATTCAAATTACGTCAATTGTACATAATCGAAATAGCTAAGCTTCAAAATGTAGCCAAGTCTTCGTAATAGTTTATTCAAAATTACGGGACTATCTGGCCGTATAATCAAAGATTTTCTCTTTCAAGGATTTACAAGGATATGAGAAATTTCGGGAATATTATTTCCTAAAAATCTTGGATTTTAGCATCAATTTTAAAACCTTAAATATAAAAAGATGTCCTTAGGTAACACAATTAATATAAACGATACAAAAAATACGTATATTAGATTTTCTACATCAATTGAGAGTTTAATGGAAAACGGACTTAATGATAATATATACACATATACTTATTTGAGAATGAAGAATATGTTGTCTAAAAAAAGTTTGATTTCAACAATAGCAATCCTAAAAAAATAGGCATAAATCTAGAATAATACAAAAGGGATACATGTATATCATATTTCATGAATCCCTACATTTCTCTAACAAAGAGAATACATTGGCATAGAAAATATTTCTAATCCTTGAATACCTAGATTGCAAGATTTATCATAAAACGGACAAGAAAATGTGCTATTCGTTCAAAATCATTTAAATTAATTAAATTAGATATATTATATATGTTTAACGGTTGTGAATAATGGTTATAAATATTTTCTATGCCATTTTATCATTTTTCTTTGTCTGTAAACAAAAGTACGGACACTAATATATTTAAAATAAGAATAATAAAAAGGAAATGTAAACGCGTGAAAGCAGAAGAATTATGTGTGTGATATTTACAACATTTAATATCTATCTATAATATGTGAAATTAATTGACAATTATAACTGATATTAAATTATAAATTTGATAAAGTTATATCAAAATCTGCAAAAATCAGTTTCTTTTTTTACAGTTTATACACAAAGTAAATATATCGTATACAAAGATATGTACTCCCGTTCCGATTGCACATACTCCGATGAAAATCTATTATGCGGTAAAAACGTTGGAAAGTACAATTGAATTACGTTAATGATGCCCAATGCTCTCACATTCATGAAGACACATTTCATATGCCTAATTTTTTTCCTTGCATGCAAAAAGTAACTGAATCATTATTAATAAATAAACCAATGATAGTATTAGTAATAATTTGAAGCTCGAATTATATACAACAAGTGTACAAATGTTACTTAAGTACAAAGAAATTTGATTATTGAATGTGAGCGCGTGAAACAGCATTAATGTACCATGTACATACTAGTCAAATCTACAAGTTTTTATAAACATACATCCATCATAATTGTTAAATACATTTAACAATTGGTATCTAATATCACACATTATATCTTAATGTATTATATCTGTTTCTAAACAAATCTCACTTTGGTAAAAAGAATCACTGATATCTCGACACCAATAAAAATATCTAAATTCTTTACAAATGATTTTTTATCTATAATAAAAAATGGAGTATATGCAATTCAGTTTTTCAGATTTTCAGTTTATTGATTATATATTATTAATTATATACACGTAATTACGCAACATATTTTATTTGTTTTTTCTCCTTCCTCCTTTTCTTTTATATAAATTTCTATGTGAAAAAACTTGATTAGCGCAGCTATTATATGTATGGAACTATTTGGAACTGTTAATTTCCGAGCGCAATAAGTCTAGCTTTCAAGCGCATACATCCGAGACGTTTAAATATTCTAGTCACTTGGATAGCATTCAAAATGATAGGAAAGTTTGTGAAATTATCACTTAAGCAAATGAAAAGTCAATTTCGATTAAAACGCAAATGCGTTTTCAGATCATCTTTGAAAAAGGTCATTATTTCCTTTAATAAACAATCTACATAAACATTTGGAAACAAACATCAAATATTAATATTAATATATATACAAAATGCAAATATTAATATTACATATGTAAATGTTTCCTTTAGATTTTCCTAATTTGTGTCACATGAAACTATGTGTACAAAGCGTTCACGTTTCGTTCTCATTATGTGTCCGTTTTCCATTATTATTATTATTATTATTATTATTATGATTATTGTTATTATTATTGGGGCTCATTGACTCGTCACTGTCCTCATCATGTTTAGGTGCCAAAACGCCTTCATATAAAATACCATCAATCTGTACGCTAATTTCTAGTTGTTTCTTACCATTTTCTGAAAAGAAAAAAAAATTTATAAATAATTTTTCTTTTTTCATTACTAATGTAAATTGATAAAAATATACGAATTATTCAAATCGCATGTTACAATACGATTCGCTTTCAAATTGTACAAACATCTCGAATTGAAGAAATTTTAATACGAATTTTAGACAAAAATTTTGTTATTTTCTCGCTTAATTAAAACTAATTATTTTGTTAATTGAAAATTATATATCGACGATTCGTTTCAATTCGGGAAATTTTGATTTAAATCCGAAAGAGATACTGATATTCGATTTGATTTCAGATCGGAATTTGATATCAGAAATATGTCTACAAGTTGACAAGTTAATTTCTTCAAACAGAAATTAATTAGATTTGTTTCCGATAAGTAAAGTTTTACGTTATTGCGATATTGTAATTTATTGAACTTACCTCCTAAACTAGGTACTTGTTTAATATGCACAGTATGGTACGTTCCTATGGTGTTATTTCCTCCCTCGTCAGATAACACCAGTTTTCTTTTCGGACTCGGAGATGCGAGATCAGTAGATTCTTGACTTCTCTTCGCATCTGAACTCGATGGTGGTGTATTTGCGGGTCTGTTAGTGGTCGGAGAGGATATCGGATCCGCTCTAATCGAAAAAATTTTTTGTCGTTAAAACGTTTCCATTAACCCAGGAGTAGTCACCCGTCTTTTCCTTTTTTACGTAAGCGATCACTGGGATATCTCTTACACCCCAATTTAAACTCGCTATTATTAACATACCGCTGTCGTTAACATATTAAATATATCATTTACTTTTTATTGTTTCCCGATTTATTGGTTTCGAAGAACGTCATAAATATAGATTTATTCACTATTCTTTTGAAGAGAGTAAAAAATATTAAACAAATCAAATAAGCATGTTAAGCGGACTGACACGAGCATCGTTGGAGTGTCAAAAATCATCCCAGATGACTATCGCCGGGTTAAACCCGAGAAAGCTTTTAATTACCTATGACCGGAGTTTGCGAGATCCAATGCCTCCCGCTGCGGTTCCGGGCTATTTGCCGGCGCTAATGGCGATTGCGAGGTCGGTGGAGAGAAAGATGATGGCTGTCCCATTCCCGGGGCGTACATGTTATTGTTGCCTGGATAACCGCTTGGACAAATGTTCCATAGATTCAATCTGGGCATCTCGAGTCCAGATTTAAAGCCCTCCACTGTTCCTGGTGGCGGCGTCGGTGAGTTACCTTGATGCGGAATTATCCCATTAGTGGGTATCCGATCTCTCAATATCCTCATCATGTATTCTGAAACTGTACGACATTAGAGATACAACTGATGCTAATTAAATCAGAAGAATAGAGATGTGGAATGTTCTCTAGCTTGCCTACGTGGACTAATTATATTGGTTCATAAAAAAATTTTTCCGACTCAAATATTTCGTGTTAATTCTTGAACACTAAAAACTAACTCTGTTATCTTTATATTTCATGTGTTACGTCAGAATTTCAAGAATAATACGTAATAAAGTTTGTTCTCTCGTCTTTTACTTGGGTAATATCATATATCTATCTCTCTTTTATAAAAAATATAAATAACTATCAAAAATTAAAATGATCTGTCAGAGTAAAATTTGGAATAGTCCGATGATGCACGACAACGTTGCAAACGACTACAATGTCTGACGTTGACGAATATTCTTCGTTATTTGAAATGTCATGGATTATCTGGCTTTGATTTCGGTGTTATTCTGAAACATATATATATATATATATTAGAAAATGATTGGACATTACAGGCATTTTTCTTTAACTGACAGCTCGGCAGCGTCTGCTAAATTAAAGCAGCGACGCTTCGCTTATTGGCACTGTTCCACCGAACATCAAACATCTGTATAAGCTATAAAACGATCAAGAACTTGTTTGTTTAACTCGGTTGTTTCGCGCAAGATTCGATAGACGAACGAATGACCATCGCCGCGTAGTATTCATCAAAATTGCATCGGATTTTTCAAAAACCTCGCGTCGCTGCATCGAAACGCAATGTCAACAGACGGAACGAGTATTCGAAAACACACGTATTCGCTCGTATTTGCCATTCGTAATGCGAGAAACGGCAATATCGATTAAGCACATCTATCCGAATACCTGGCCGTCGAAATGGTCGAAGGAGAGCCGCGAGTGCGATCGAAACGCGACGTTACTCAAATCGCTGTCGGGCGCAGCGACGGGAAGGTGGAAAGAGAGAAGGAAAGGGTAGGGAAATAGGAATGCTCGTTAGCGAGAGCCATCCGTTAACGCCTGTCTTCCGGAGGATCGTACAATCAATTATGCCTCCTTCGCTCTCGCATCATCATCTCCGGGGAGGCCCGAAGCACTACCTACCGATTTAAAATAAACCCGTGCGCTCTACCTCCTCCCCCCCCGTTTCCTTCCTCCCTTTTTTCCATCACGTTCCCTGATATCTTCCCTACCGCCGGGCGGGTTTTTCATTTTTGCTCTTTCCCGTACTCGTTTTCTATTTCTATTTCCGATACAGCGTTACGGATTACGTCTTTCATTTCTCTCCCGAACGAAATCGGTGTATCACACAGGGAGAACAGTTTTGCTGGCAATTTTAAGAGATACAGATTTAAAAATAATTTTGTTTGTTAGGCCTTCAAAATTATCATGCACGATGTTCAAATCGGTTGTTAGAGAAAAAAAAATTTTTTTTGCAGTATTATTGTCATGTTCAAGTGTCCTGCATAATGATCTTGATGATTCAACAAAATTATTTTCAGATCTGTATTCGGCCAAGTTTTTAGATTTGTCAGTAAAATTATTCTCTCTGTGTATGACTAAGAAACACACACACACACGCACGCGCGCACAGCTATACAAAACAGTTTTATCGAAATGCTTAAGAATTTGATCAGATACAAAAACTAATTATATCAGACTATTAAAATAATTACAGATATAAGATACTTTTAAATATATGATAATAATACTATAAAAAAATTTGAGAATTATAGAGTCTAACTTAATTATTTTGATTAATGAAATTATTTTCAAACTTCTATCTGACAAAATTTTCAATATGCTTTAGCAAAACTTTTCCTTCCATGTAAGTACAAAATTATATTAAAGTGAATTCTCTTAGCAATATATTATTTTGGATCATTTTTTGGATCAGTAATATTAAATTGTTAAAAGAGAACATAAAGATAAAATATGTATAACAATTCTAAATCTAAATAGTAAAGTTAAATATTTTTCACAAAGAAAGCAAGAGCTTCTTTCAAAAAGTAGCAACTCAAAATACAAAAATTTTAAAAGATACATTTCGATGATTATCATTATTTTTACACTGAGATCTTATTTTCATCGGTCAATCGAATGATGAAATATAATAAGAAAGAGCAAAGTGTGAATATTCTTATTGAAAAATAAGTGAAATACTCAGTAATCCTTACTGTAACTCTTATCCTTGTATAATCAAAGAATTTTCCACTGATTCTGTTTGACAGTTAGAAAAACTATCATAAAAACAAAATTATCTTAAGCTAATACAGCGGCGGTAACGCTAATCATCCGCGATAAAAATTGCGGATCTTAATCTCTTCGTCCAATGAAACTCGCATGTACAAACAAGCTTCTTCCGAGCGAAAGAATGAGATAAGAACCTACCTTGACTAGAGAGTTGGACAGATGGTGACAGATTTGGTGCGAGATGCTGTGGATGATGCTGCGGGGCATGCGGATGCCCATTTACGACTAACGATTGTGGTCCATGATGCTGTGATTCGTTTGCGGCAACCGCCATTTGGGCAATGGAGAGCGGCAATGAATTCTGCAACGCTGTGCTGTGCTGGGTTCGTGGCATTAAATTCTCATTGTTAGTATAAGCAGCATAATTGTTTCTTCGGCTCTCACGACGATTTGTCTCGATCGCCGTCTGGAGCTGCTCGGTAGTCGAGAGCTTTTCCTTCTCGCGCTCGTATGGATATAGATATTTCATGTATCTGTTGACAAAAAAATTACATATGTATCATATATATTTTTATGCGAAAAGAACAGTATTGCCTTTGTAAGTATTTAAAAATTCGGCCAGATGATTTTGTTAGGATTTGGAAATACTTTCCACGTGCTCAAAAATTTTTTAATTCAAAATAAGAATATATAAAAAATAAAAATCTCGATAAATTGTATATTTTAAAGTATACTGAATGTTTGTTCAAATTTATAACTTCTTAGTCTTCTCGTTTTATGTGTAGCTTTTAATCAATCCAGAAAGTCCGCTCTTTTTCTATCTTGAAAATATATTTCTTAATTAATTAAAATAAATAATTTAAGTTCTTAGGATATCAATTTACAACAAATGATATCAATTTACAGTTAAACGTTAAAGAAACGTTAAGAAAGCTGAGGAGATAAAGATGGCACACATATTGTCTCTTTAGGGATTAATCAAAGCCACTTCTTGCCAGATGACTGCTGTCGCGAATGCACTACATTCGAACTGATCGTATTTTCGTGAATTTTCTCTTCTATCTCGCATACATATCGCCGAGGAAAGATAGCCGGTTGCCGGAATGATGGATGCGCTACCGCGGCGGGACGAGGCGAGGCAACGCGACGCGACGCGACGCGACGCGACGCGACGAGACGAGACGAGACGAGACGCGACGGGACGGGACGGGATGCGACGTCGACGTTCCATCGTGCACAAAGCGTTGCGCGCACGGAGTTATTTTCACGAGCACACCCCTAGCATCGCGCCCGTATAATTCATATTAGCCCGCACTTATAATGTGTCGGCGTTCTCCAGCCCTCCTCCCCCCTCACCGCCGGTCTGGTCTCCCTCCACCGCGCGAATTCCCCGCGGCCGTCTTCTTTCCGTTTCTCATATATGCGATTTTCTTCTCCGTCGGCGTGTTGTTCGACCGCGGGATAAGCGGGATGCCTCGCGCCCCCGTCGTCCCTCGCCGAATCTCGCCGACGAATCTCTATTTAGAGAACCTCGCGCCACCCCGTCCCTCGGCGCGCGAGTAGACGAGACATCGCGAACGGCAGATAAATCTTCGTCGCCGCGCGAGATATGCTTGGTATTATATAAACGAATATATATCGTGCCAACGGTTCCAGGTTGTCACAACCCGCCCCATGAGAGGTGTCCCGACTCGTCGAGGGATCGCGCGGGAGATCCGACGCGAACGACACGTCGGCTAAGATGATGCACCTGTATGTCACACCACTAACTCATCACCTACGTTTTGTTTTATCTCCACGTCGACAGTAAAGCGCGTAATAACACGTCTGCAGGCTCGCGATATCCTCGCCTTCTCGATTATGCAGCCCCGCCGGATTTCGCCGGCTAATATAATAAACGCCGGGTAATCGTCTCCAATCGGACTTTAATTCGGCATCATCAAGATGAAATGTAGTCACTTACTAAGATCTTTATTAAAAGTTAAAAATCTAACAACATGAATATCTCAAATTAAGTTTGCTCCTTGAATTTAAATTAAATTAATACAATTAAAAATTATTTGAAATTTTTTTTCATAACCATGATGAAGACAGAACAATAAAAATAATATTTGTTCATGTTACAGTATCTGCATGAAAAGAGCGATTTTGTTAAAAATTCATCAAAAATTCAGTCAAATATAGATTTGAAAATAAGTTTAATGGATCGTCAAAATAATTATATGGGGCATCAAAGTGATTATTAAAAAAATGTTTGCAGTATTATTATCAGGCTTAAATATTCTATAATTTTAATAATCCAAAATATTTTTAGATCTGAAAAATTTTTTTTAGATACTTCAGCAAAATCATTCTTTCCATGCAGGTACTATAAACATAAAATTATTTTTACAATCGCTTTGTTTCTATCACAAGATAAAAAAAATTTTTTTAATAATTTTTAATTATACTAATCTAGTATAATTTGAACGCAAGAAATAAACTTAAGGTATTTATACATACTTTTAGATACTTTAACAAAACCATTTCTTTCGTACAGGATTTGTCATATCTGTCTTATTATTCTAGTAAGACCGGTTTAACATGATTTTGATTAATCACAGAGATATATTCAAGTGTGTCACTTTAATTAAGTACAACGTTAAGAGGCGAAGAAACGAATGCTGACAAAACATTTGACTGATGTAAAATACGCGCGAATCGGTCAAGCGCATATCTCGTCCAGCGCGGATGGATTTTATCGGGCACGATGATCTCGGTGAGAGACGTGCGTAAAAGTCACGACGTTCTTAGTCATTGCCACAGATTTCACGCTCGGGTGACTCTTCGTCGGCTGAGACTTATTGTATGCGAATTACAACGTAGTCCCGGCATTGTGCATAGGCAAGACCGGGGTCCCGGATGAGAAGTTTCACGATCTACTTACTGAGTTCGCAGAGTAAACGCGGCGGAAGTGATGCTCGCTGGCAGCCGGAGACCTTTGATGATTTCCTGCCACAGCTTCTTGTTGATTACCTCGACCAATCCTCCCCGCAGTACCACCAATTTGTAAAGCTCGTAGAGATCCAAGACAGATTTCGCCATGATAGGGAGTCGGCTGATGGGTGTTCCTGTAAGATAAAAAAAATTTACATTTTACACTAATTTCATAACAAGATCCATTTAAAAAAAAAGGGACTTCAATAAATAAATAAAAAAACCGTGCAATTTTAAAAAAATTAATGAATAATATTGTGGTTTTACATTATATTAATATTTAATTTATATATAATTTTAAAATACAATTTGTTTTATATTAAGCCTGAAGATAAAAAAAACAATATGTTAATAAACATTCAGACGTAATTTTGATATCAAGGGATTTTTCAAAATTAACGAGTGACTGATAATCGGACTATAAGGAACGTAAACCATCCTTTATCCATCGCGTGATCGACCAAGGCAGATCTTGCGATCATCTTAAAGTACGACTAGCGTAAAACCGCCGGATTTTACGAGGTTTGTCCAGAGATATCCAGCGTGGGGCGTTAACAAGAGCAATAACGAATTCGCAACAATCACGCGAGTGGCGCGCAGTCTTTTACGATCTTCCTTAGGGTGTATCGCGCCGGGTATAAGAAATAAAGAGGAGAGAGAAAGGAAGAGAAAGAAAGAGAGCATAGCGGATTAAGGGTTAAGAAAACGAATGCGTGAAACGGAAAATCCGATGAGGTATCGAGGAGATTGTATCGAAAGTTATCGATTAACACTCGCGGGATAACTCTTTTACGAGCTCCCGTCCCATCCTCGACGATAAAAACGACGATGCGAATGGCGTTCGCATTTGCGAATTCTGACAGAAATTGCCAACAAGTTCTGCTTCCGATAATATTTGTCCAACAAGATGGCTGGGAAGAATTAATCGAGCCGGAATTATGCGCGCGCCACACGTGAAAATCGTTAAGGTGGAACAGTCGCGAGAAATGTTCCCTGGCTGAAGCGACATTCAGACAGATACCGAAGGAATTCCTCGGTTAATTCGTACGCGTATATTACCGCCGCCTACTATGGTAGCCAGACCATCGAATTTTACGAGGTTGCCCGAGCCACGAGTTAACGGAGTGTTAACAAGAGCAGCCGTGCTCGCGACTATCGTGCGCTTAAACTACGTAAACGTAAACGCACCTTTACGAGTCTTACGAGCCTGAGCGAGAGAGTTGGCGTAATCTGAGGTTTTTAAAGTCGCGCATAAATACGCCCGAGCGCGAGCGACGTGTCTGAAATGGGGGGAGCGATTGAAAATTCTTTCGCGAAACAAACGGGGGTGGCGCCTAGACCCTAGAGAGGCGTGTCCTGTTATCTCGCGGAGATAAAGCGGGGTTATTTATAAATATATAATTTTTAACTTTAAATAATTCTCACATCGATAGTTCAGTTTTTTATTTTTATTTTTTTTTTTTTTTTTTTTTATTTAAGTTTCGGTTATTTTCGTTCGTAACGTGAGACTCGAAATTCTCCGGTGACTCCTTCGCCGCGTGGCGGTGGTCGTCGCTTTCCACGGAGCCGGCGAATTTTACGAGTTTGT